TTTACAGTACAGACAATGGTGCTTCAGCCTCAGAACATTCATTATACTCAAAAGTTGTAACCCAATCAATACAAGTCTTCTAAACAATACAGGGAGATTAGTTTGGATCAATCACAATCACAGAAAATTGCAACTTTTCCATAACTAATTGCTAAACCACTGCTGCATGTGCTGAATCATTTGCTTCTATTTGTTGCTCTGCATCATTTACCTAGATAAACTGAGTCAAATGAGTGGTGGTGGAGGGTTGCTTTTCGGACTGGAGGCCTGTGACTAGCGATGTTCCACACGATCGGTTCTGGGTCCTCTTTTGTTTGTCATTTATATAAATGACTTGGATGAAAATATAGAAGGTATGGTTAGTAACTTTGTGGATGACACCAAAATTGGTGGCATAATAAACAGTGAAGGAGGTTACAAAGGGATCTTGATCAAATGGGTCAATGGGCTAAAAATGGCAGGTGGAGTTCAATCTGGATCAATACGAAGTATTGCATTTTGGTACAACAAACAAGGGTAGGGCTTAGCCAATAAAGGTAAGGCCTTGGGTACTGTTGGAGAACAGAGGGACCTAGGGGTTCAGGTACATAATTCTTTGAAGTTTGCGTCATATATAGACAGGGTGGTTAAAAAGGCGTTTGGCACGCTTGCCTTCAATGCTCAGTCCTTTGAGGAAAGAAGTTGGCAATTCATGTTGAGGTTGTACAGGACATTGGTGAGGCCTCTTCTGGATACTGTGTGCAGTTCTGGTCACCCAGTTATAGGAAGAATATTATTAAGCTGGAGAGGGTTCAGAAGAGATTTACCAGGATGTTGCCGGGTGTGAAAGGTTTGAGTTATAGAGAAAAGCTGGGACGTTTTTAAAATGGAGCACAGGAGGTTGAGTGACGACCTTATAGACATTTATAAAATAAAGAATGGTATAGATAGGGTTAATGGTAGTTGTCTTTTCCCTAGGATGGGGGATTTCAAGACTAGGGGACACAATTTTATAGTAAGAGGAGAGAGATTTAAACAAGACATGAGGGGCAATTTTATTTACACAGAGGGTGGTTTGTGTGTGGAATGAACTTGCTGAGGAAGAAGTGGATGCTGGTACAATTACAATGTTCAAAAGACATTTGGATAGGTATATAAATAGGAAAGGTTTGGAGGGATATGGGCCAGGAGCAGGCAGGTGGGACTGGCTAAATTTGGAATTATGTTCGGCATGGACTGGTTGGGCCGAAGGGTCTGTTTCCGTGCTGTATGACTCTATGACTCTATTTAAGGATCCATCTTGGATACCGTGAGTAACCATAAGACATAGGAGCAGAGCCCATTCAGCCCATCGAGTCTGCTCCACCAATGAAATCATGGCTGATCCGATAAACCTCAAATCCATTTTCCTGCTTTTCCTCTATAACCCTTGGTTCCCTTGCTGTCTATTTCAGCCTTGAATATACTTGATGACCCAGCCTCAACAGCCCTCTGCAATAAAAAAAAAATCCACAGATCGATTACCTTCTGAGAGAAGAAATTCCGCTTCATCTCTGTCTTAAATGGTCAAGCCTCTTATTCTGAAGTTTTGCCCTCTTGTCCTAGACTCTTCTACAAGGAAAAACAACCATTCCATATCCAACTTGTCAAGTTCCTCAAGAATCATGTATGTTTCAATATGGTCATCTTTCATTCTTCTAAATTCCAATGAGTACAGCCCAATCTACAAAACCTCTCCTCATTAGATAGTCCCTCCAAACCTGGTGTCAGCCCAGTGAACCTTCTCTGGACTGCTTCCAATGTTAGTACATCTTTCCTTAGATAAAGGGTTCAAAACTGTTCATAGTATTCCAGCTATGATCTCACTACTACATTGTGTAGTTTTAGCATGACTTCATTATTTTTACACTCCATTCCCTGTGAAATAAGGCCAACATTCCATTTGCCTTCCCATTACCCACTGGATGCTAACCTTTTGTGAATCATAGATAAGGAATCCCAAATCCATCTGTTCTGTAGCTTTCTGCATTCTTTCTCCATTTAAATAATATTCAGCTCCTCTGTTCTTTCTACCAAAGAACATAACCTCTCATTTTCCCACATTACATTCAAGTTTTTGCCCCTTTACTTAACCTATCTATAGTCCTCTGCAGATTGCGTGTGCCACCCTGCCATTTGCCTTCTGTCTATTTTTGTGTCATCTGCAAACTTGGCTATAGTACCTTTACTTTCCTCACCCAAGTCATTAATATAGATTGTAAAGTTTTTTGGGGTAGTTAAACCAATATATAGTGATAATCTTATTTTCCCTTCACTTTTTTCAATCTATAAAGTATATTTTAATCTCATACTGATCCAATTACAGGGAGCAACTACAATGTCTTAGTCCCATCAGCAAGATGTTAGTAACTGCGGCATAAATCACTTATTCCAGGAAGGTTTACAATTCTTCAGAACAGTTTCTACATCCTCAAAAATGCTTGGAATAGTGACTTATCAAGGGACTCCTTAAGCATTACTGGATTTTTAAAACATTATGGTACAGTAACATGCATCACTGACACACTTGTGATGGAGTTGCAGAAGGATGTGTAAGAAACCAAGTTAAAAGTAGGGAGTTGGGGGATATGGTCATGGACACAGTAGCAGAGGATTGATAACAGAAAAATGGCAAAGGCCATGAGAGCTTTAAAAACAATGTTGACAATTTTAAACATTAGGTGGTACAAGTCAATAAATGCCAACAGGAACTAATGTCGAATACAAATAAGTTTTAGATCATGTGACCAGAAAATATAGGAGCAGAAGGAGGCCATTCATCCCTGCAAGTCCAATCTGCCATTAAATGAGATCACAACTGTTCTGGTAATCCTAAACTCTACTTTTCTGCCTTATCTTGTAACCTTTGGTAAGTGAACATTGGGATCCTGATATTTTCAAACAGAATAATAAAATGAAGAACTAATGCAATACAGCAGTTGATGGAAATCTAATATAGTGCAAAAATATTTCTGGAAACACTCAGCATCTGTACACTTAGAGACATGTTAATGTTTGGGTGTGGACTCTTCATTAGAACAGAGAGATTACCTGTAAGCAAAACTTAAAATGCAACAGAAAGTGTAAAGAAATGCTACTGCAGTTCTTCAAATGATTAAGAAAATCATGGTCCAAAATCACCAGGAGACTCATGTCAATATGATAGCTCATTTTTTGATTGATTTGATTTGCTACCGTCGCATGTATCTAGGTACAGTGGAAAGTTTTGTTTTGCACGCCGTACATGCAGATCATACCATACAAAGTGCATTAGGGTAATAGAACTGTGCAAAGAATACAATGTTACAGCTGCAGAGAAGATGTACAATAAGCGAGATTAACATTTAAATTTAAAATTTGAGAGGTCCATTTAGGAGTCTGATAACAACAGGAAGAAGCTTTTGTATCTTCTGCTCGATGGAAGAGATTATAACTGGGGTGGGAATGGTATTTGATTATATTCTACACTAAGTCCTTACCTAACACTGGCATTCCTGAGAAGTACAACTTTCAGTGAAACAACATTAAACAAATTATTTTTGCCTATTACAATCAATGTAAAGGCTGTAATTAGGTTCTATACACCTTCTCCTCAGAAAAAAATGAAAAATTCTGTAAAATGAAATACTTTATATTGCTAAACTTCTATGTTCATGACAAAATAGCTTTTAAAATAAGCCTAAAAGATATAAAAGTGGTATGCTAACTCTTTTTACTTAACTTTTGCTTGACATCTCTCTCACTTGTAGTGTTCCAACACATTCCTAACTGATGCCTGGTAATAGTGGAAAGACATTGGTGAGTCACTACCTGTGTACTCTGACGTGTATTAACTCTGGTAATAGTAACCTCAGGATATTGACGGTGGAGGATTCAGTGATGGAAATCTTGTTGAATGTCAGGGGGAAATGTTTGGATTCTCACTTATTCAAGATGGCCATTGCCTGGTCCATGTGTGACATCAAAATCAATTGCCCCTTACCAGCCCAAGCATGAAAGTTGTCCAAGTCTCACTGGCACAGACAGCTTCATTATCTGAGGAATATAGAGCTGAACATTGTGCAAATGCTTCCATTAGCCCAACTTTGACTTTACAGCAAAAGGTATTGATGAACAGATGAAGATGGTTGGGTAGACAAACAGGAGGCTGGAAGAACACAGCAAGCCAGGTAACATCTGGAGGAAAGGAGAAGTCAACATTTTAGTATTACCCTTCTTCAGGACCAGAGGTGGGGGTAGGGTGAGCTGCAGGTAAAGAGAGGGGGTGTAGCGGAATGGTGGTGATAGGTGGACAGTGGCAGTAGGTGCGACGTGGTTGGTCGACGAGAGGGATGAATCCAGTTGGTGGGAAGAGAGGGTCACAAGGCAGAATGAAAGGGAGGAGGTGGGGCTGGAAAGGGAGCCGGGGGAGTGGGTGGGAAGTTTATTTGAAATTAGACAGCTCAATGTTGAGTCCTCCAGGCTGTAGGGTGCCCAGGAGGAAGATAAGGTGCTGTTCTTCAAATTTGTGTTCTGAGTTGCTGTGACACTGAGGACAGACATGTCAGAGGGGGAGTGGGGAGGGGGGCAGTTGAAATGGGCGGTGACCAGGAGGTTAGGTTGGCCATTATAGGCCAGGCGAAAATGCTCGGCGAAAAGGCCACCTAGTCTACATTCGGTCTCACCAACATAGAGAAGAGCACATTGGGAGCACCGGATGCAATAGACTAGTTTGGAGGAGATGAAGGTGTAGCGCTGTCTCACCTGGAAGGACTGTTTAGGGCCCTGGATGGAGGTGAGGCAGGTGGTGTGCCTAGGACGCCAAAGCCTGCGAAATGTTACTCTATGTCCTGAAGCTGAGCTGACTGGCCTCCAAAAAACTTTGTCCCTGCCTAGTATGACTCCAGCCACTGGAGAATTTTCTTCTAATTCTCATTAACTTCAATTTTGTCAGACCTAGTGAAATGCTGCCTTAATGTCAAAAACAATCACACAATCCTCACCTCTGGAATTCGGTCTTTGTTTATCTTTGTATCATGGCTGTGATGAGGTCAGGAGTCAAGTGGTCCTGGCAAACCCAAGCAGAATCCATGATTAGTTTTTTGGTGTACAAGTGCCTCTTGACAGTATGATCAAGGATACTTTCCATCATTTTGCTAATGATCAAGAGTAGGATCCTGGAGTGGTTATTAGCCAATTTAGACTTTTCTAATTTTTTGCAGACAGGGTATACCAGAACAATTTTCCACATTGCCAGGTAGATGTCAGTGTTATTGCTGGCCTGGCTTGAGGCACAGTTGCCAGGGACCACAAGTATCTGCTGCCTGCAGCCGTTTCTTTACATCAGGACAGTTTTTAATTATGTGTTGAACAAATGCACAGTATGGTTTATTCAAAAGAATCTTCTCAAAATGTGATCATTAACTGCAGAAATTTGAAGATTTCTGAGTACTTCTCCATTTTAATAGGATCAGACATAGTACTATATAATGTTGATACCCTGCACAATTTTATTTTCTTTTAACACACTTTTCACTTCCACAAGTGCATAACATCCCATGGCTCTTTTTCACTGAAGTGAAAACCAACAACTGAAAAATTAAGGAAAGTCAAGAATGACAAATATGTGCTGGGCCTGCCATTGATAACAGACTTGTAGGTGCTTGACTTTTTGGCTGAAAACCAATATGCAATTGCAAATTATTTGCTGTACCTCCCCAACTATCCACTATTCTTTTCATGATCTGCTTTAATATCATTTCTCTTTCTAATTTCAATTCATTTATGGGGAAAATCTCTCACAAAACAGCCTAAACTAGACAGCTGATTTGAAATTCAACTTATTCAGCAATTTTGAGACGGAATATGCTGTTCATAAGTCATGGGCCAAAATTTCATACACAAAACTACTTTCAAGTAATGTTACCATTGCCACTTAAAAATATTAAAAGCAAAAGTTGTATGCAGGGTAAGCCAATTCTCAAAGTACCTCCATGAGTTTAAGAGAACCGTAACTTGCTAAGTTCCATAGTTCTTGATAAGAAAATGTCAACATTGAATTTGCAATGGCTTCAGTGACAGTAAAATATAGTCCAGACTGATTAAAAGATGAAGGTGGTCCAGGTTGTATGGGAAAGAGAACTTCAAAATGATATGGAAAGGGGAGCTAAAGGAAGAAACTGAGGCAGCTCAGTAGATATCCGGAGTTGTGGATACAAGGAAATATATAGGTTTCCTTCAGCTTTTTGTTAAAGGTAAATGGAAGAGAACTCAAAGGAGGCAGGTTCTAATGGAGAGGAGTTTGGCAATGCCTAAGGAAAATATGAGATGGTAAAACATAAAGTGATCTAACTATATTTTCACCACATGGACTCAGATTTGAAGACACATAGCTTGGTGGAGAAATGAATAGCGAGAGGCATCAGGGTTTGCAAAGGGATAGGAACAGGTTTATTTTTATCTAATTCACCCATCCATATCAATAGGAATGGATGGATCACTGATTTCACTCTCTATTTGACTTTTTTTAAATTAGGAAGAAGATTTGCATTTGTGTAGCATCTTTGATGAACTCAACCAACTTGCAAAATGTAGTCCCTTTCGTAATGTAGGAAACATGACAGCCATTTTGTGTGCAGCCAGCTCCCACAAATAATAATGTGACAATAACCAGATAATTAATGTTCATAATGTTGATAGAGGGATAAACCGTGGCCAGGAAAGCAGAAACTACTCCCCTATTTATCTTCAAAATGTTGTCCTGTGTTATATATGTATTGTATACAGAGAAGTGAAAACTGACCTGTAATACTATACATTCTGAGCGTTGATGATTTGTTTACATCACTTCTAAATTAGGATTGATTAAGTAACAGTGTGCGATTCACTCTATTGAATGAATACTTATTATCATTAATGAGATTCGAATTCAGACTTTCAAATAAGTACAACATTCAAAACAATTTTTTTCACACAGATGAAAATAATCCAATGAATTTGGACAATAGGTCCGTTACTGCATCACATGGATACTACTGACATTTGAGTAAGCCAAACGGATAAAAGAAGATTTAGACGACAATTTTAAACATATAAAATCATTCTATTATGTCACGTTTAGAATTACAACAAAATAATGTTTGGAAAAGATATAGAGTGTGGATAGAGTTTAAAATATCAGAAACCCTGTCTTTGGACAAAGGCCACCTGATTGATAACTTTAATTTCCACTGCCAAAGTCACTAAGGGGTTAATGGGCAAATACAAATTATTTCAAGAAAGTGGATTTACTTAGATTACATATGTTGCAATAGAAATTTATCAGATTGAGCCAATTGTCTCAAAGTTCAATTCCTTTGTGTTCATGAGATACAGCACTATAACACATTTTTAAGTTTAGACTACAAATTAAATACTGAACAATCTAGGCAGAGGTGAGAAAAGATCACTAGACCCAAGGAAACTCATCATTCAGGCACATTAATTCTCCAATCAATTATGTCCATTGTATTTCAAAGAACACCAATGTTTTGTTTTTATCAACTCTAATGATTACATCACTTGCTAATTAATTATGTACTGCATAAATGATCTCGTCATAATCAGCAAGATGGTCATTTCATGTATTGAATTAACACTTAGAAGTCTGACCTTATCTCGACATGGTTAATTCTCACTTTCAAAGTTTGATCTGTGTTGGGATACGGAGATAGCAAAAGCTGACTATTTTCAATGCTCAAATCCTCATTAGAAGTGTGATTTGCTGCATATATTCACTGAACAACAAAATGCCACATGTAAGCGAGTACAGAGAAAGAAAGATAATACAGATCAATGTGTGACTGTAAACATGGTGAAGGGGATGCGGGGTGTGCCACCTGTATAAACTGGATGGGTTACATCTGAATAGAGCTGAGACTGATTTCTTTGTGAGGTGTTTTGCTAATGTTATTGGGGAAAGCTTAAATGATTTCAACCTGGGTATGGAAACTTGGAGAGAAAATGAGAAAGTAACACCAAGGTGTAAAAAAAATGTTAGCAGCCGATAGCACTAAAATAGAGAATGCTAAGTTCACAGGTGGAGTCGGAGAAAAGCAGAATGTATGAAGTCTAAATCAGAACTACATTGCCTATAAGACTACAAGACATAGGAGCAGAATTAGACCATTAGGCCCATCAAGTCTGCTCTGCCATTTGATCATGGCTGATATGTTTCTCAACCCCCTTCTCTTGCCTTCTCCTCATAACCTTTGACCCTCTTACTAATCTATCTATCTTTGTCTTAAATACGCTCAATGACTTGACACCCACAGTCTCTGTGTTAGTGAGTACCCACCATCTAAAGAAATTCCTTTTCCTGTCAGTTCTAAAGGGTCACCCTTCATTCTGAGGCTGTACCCTCATGTCTTAGTCTTGCCAACTAGTGACTATTGATACTGCTACTATCTTCTACACGTCCACTCTATCCAGGTCTCTCAGTATTCTGTAAGGTTCAAAGAGATCCCCCTTCATCCTTCTAAACTCCATCGAGTACAGACTCTGAGTCCTCAACGATTCCTCATATGACAAGCCCTTCATTCCCAGGATCATTCTTGATACCTCCTCTGGACCCTCACAATGGAACATCCTTCCTTAAATACAGTGCCCAAAACTACTCTCAATATTCCAAATGTGGTCTGACCAGTGCCTTATACATTCCTGCTTTGGTATTCCAGCCTTTAATGCTAACATGGCATTTGCCTTCCTAATTGCCAACTGAACCTACATGTTAACCTCAAAATAATCCTGAACTAAGACTCCCAAGTCCCTTTGAGCTTCCAATTTCCAAAGCCTTGCCACATTTAGAATATACTCTGTGCCTTTATTCTTCCAACCAAAGCACATAACCTTACACCTTCCCAAATTGTATTCCATTTGTCATTTGTTTGTCCATTCTCCTAGCCTGTCCAAGTTCTTCTGCAGTCTCCCTGCCTGCTCCAAACTACCTACCCCTCCATCTATCTTTGTGTCATCTGCAAACTCAGCAACAATGTCCTCAGTTCCTTCGTCAAGATTGTTAATGTATAACATGAACAGTTGTGGTTGCAATACTGACCCCTGCGGATCTCCAGTAGTCATTGGCTGCCATCTTGCCAAAGACCCCTTTATCTCTGCCTTCTGCCAGTCAGCCAATCGTCTATCCATGCCAGTACCTTGCTCCTAACAGAATGGGCTCTTATCTTATTTTGTAGCCTCCTGTGTGGCAACTTATCAAAGGTCTTTTGGAAATCCAAATACATCAAGTCCACTGGCTCTCAAGTATGTGATTGCATGGAGTATTGTTAACAATACAGGGGACTTGTAGGCACAGATTGCTTTGTATGATTACAATGCTGTGGTGATAACAGAGATCTGGCTTAAGGAAGGTCTCCACTTATAAGGCAGATGCTGCCCAGGCCACAGTAAGAGAAGAGGAATCTCAATTATTAAAAAGGTTTTAAACTGACAAGGAAGAGGTATTGGATAAGCTGTGCATACTTAAACTTGGTAATGCATCAGGACTGGATAAAATGCATTCGAGGATATTGGAGGAAGTGAGGACGGAAATTGCAGCAGCATTGGCAATTATGTTTCATTTGTCTCTGGGTGGTACTGAAGACCAGAGAATTGCAAACATCATGCCCCTGTCAAAAAAATTTGTAAAGACAACCTAGTTAATACAGACCAATCTTTTCAACTTCAGTGGTGAGGAAATTTTGACAAACAACTATCAGAATTAAATTAATCGTCACACGGAAAAATGTGGATTGATTCAGAAGGGTCACTTCAGATTTGGAGATAACAATGATGAGGAGAAGGCTGTTCCAAAATACAACGCCACACAACAGACATGTGAGGAAAGTTGTGGGTCATGGAATTAAAGGAAAAGGAACAATATGGATTCAAAATTGATATGAGAGATATGGAACAGTGACTATAGTCAATGGGTGTTTTTAGTGGAATTCCCCAGGGAATTATTGCAGTCTGGGAGTCTTACTCTTCCTGATATGTATCAATGGTCTAGACCTTGGTGTGCAAGGAACAATTTCAAAGTTTG